CCACTACTCAACCAAGGAGCTGCAGGGATGCCAAAAGTTACTCACTCAATGAGTACTGCAAAGATATGGCATTCAGTGCTGAGGCAGTTCCAGGAGAGTAGGTAACACCAACAGTCACATGTTGGTGAGACGGCGTTAAGGGAAAGAAAGGACTGTGAAAGTTACGTATCAGCCTAGGTACCAATTGCTTCTGCCTCCACGCAGCAGCCAACAGCGACACCCTCAAAGATACGGGCTGCCAGCTCACTCAACTCATCATAAATTCAAGCCATTCCCAATCATTAGCAGGCTCCATCCAGCTCAGGACAGACAAGAAAATCACCTGCCATCTTTAGATATCTCTCAAGTGTGTTGAGGTTTGTGCTGCTATAGAAGGCGGCTGTGTTCTCCTTCCCACTACATGACTTTTCTGCCTCTGCTTTATTGACCCAGCCTGGCTGAAACTTCCACCAAGGGTGTCCAAGCAGTGGAAAAAGCCAGGATTCACCAGTGAGCCTCTGGTAGTGCCCCAACCCTGTCCTGAGGGGTGAACATTTCCAAGAGGTGCTGCATAAACCCACTGACCCTCTTTCTCCATGGTCCTAGCTACAGATATGCCCCCTCCATGCTTCCATACGCAGATCTGGCTCAAACTGACTCTGACTCTTCCCAAATTTTCTGATTCAGGAGCTGCATCACAAAGGCACATTCACAGCTCTGTTGCTTTCTCTCACTAGCTGGAGGGGCCCTGACCTGCCCTGCAGCTTGTTTTCTGCGGCCTGTCAACTGTGAACACTGCCCCACTACCAAAGGCATTGCTACCTTTCTCCTCGCATCCTTCCAGAAAGTTCCTAGGAAACAACCTTCCAGCAGTGCCAGATATAACAACCCCAGCACTCCAAAAAGCTGCACTCCAGCTCAGCGCGAGTAAAACTTCGCTCAGCAACAACAAAGGACATTGCCGAGAGAGAGAGAGAAAAGTTGTCAGTAGTCCCAAGCACGATAAGCAAGCCCAAGCTAACCGGGGCGGTACTAGAAAGGGAAATATCTCCAAACAACTTTTGTTCAGTTCTCCCTTTTTTTTTTTCGGCACGAATGAGCGCAGACACTCAAAAAGACGGTCCCGCAGAGGCAGCGCTCACAGCTGGGCAGCGGGGCTTTAAACCCACGACACAAATCCCCACCACGCACACATGCACAGACACCGCCCCTGGAGCCCCAGCTCGCCACGGTAACAGCAGCGGCGCCTCCAGGGCGCTTTTCGTGCCTTTCCGCGCCGAGAGGCGGCACCGACCGCCGCGCAGCGCGCTCCGTGATGAGAGGAGGTGGCGCCCGGTGGCCCCGGGCCCGCCGCTTCCTCCCGCCGCTGCCGCCCGGCGGTTGAGCGGCCGGTAACGGCCGCGCCGCCCGGCGGGTAACGGCCCCCCCGCCGCCAGCCGGGCGGCCCTCGCCTAGCGCTCCCTCCACGCTCTGCAAGCCACCAACCCGTTTCCCAAACATTCCTGCGTTCCAGAATAGCAAATTGGGGGGGGAAAAAAAGAAAAAAAAAAAAAGGCGAGGGGGAGCGTCTAACCAACACCGGGCCGTTTTTAACTTGAATTGCTCAACAGCCGCCCTCCCTTCCCCCTCCGCCGCCCGCCACAGATGTCCCTCCTTCAGGATGTAACAGCTGTTTTATCTCCGGCAAGGTCGCTGTAATTACGCTGTATAAAACAGTTACAAGGTACGCAGGAGGGTTTGCTTATAAAGCGCCGCTGCTTCCTCTTCGGGTGTGAATGCGCGTTTGTGGGGAGGGACGTGCGGCCAGGCAGAGGGGCCGAGTGTGGTTTTTTTTTTTTTTTTTTTTTTTTTAAAGACATCAGTCGTTCAAAACACTAAAACACTCGTTTCCAAAAGTGCAATGCTTGCTGCCTGCCACTACTCCTTTTCGCTCAAAAACAATTAAGCACGTGGCTGGGCAAAAGTGACTATGTAAACACACTCTCCTGCGAACAAAAACATGCTGTATCCGCTTTTTTTTTTTTTTTTTTTTTGGAGGAGGGTGGGTGAAGCGGTTTATTTCACTTTCCCCGCGCATAAAATTGCCGCGTGGAGTTTCACGGCCTCGCTCCGAAAGGGGGGTGCGGGAGAGGACAACGCGGCCGCTCAGGCTGCCTTTGTTCGGGGAGGGCTTTGCCAAGTTTCCCCAAAAAGCCTTGGAAAGGGCTCCGTGAGACCCTGGGTTGAGCCCTGAAGGAACAAGCGCCTCAGAAGTCCTGCATTTCACATCTCGGAGGAAAATAAACTGTTGCTGCACCACGTGTTTGCCTAAGAGGGATGACTCAAGCTATGAGACTTTTTTTTTTTCCCCCTCTCTCCCTCTTTAAAGCCAGGAGCATGTGTCACAGCAGAATCCACCGGGGGAAGGGGGGGGGTGAAGAAAGGAAGGAGAAAAACAACCTTTACGAACACTGATGTTAAAAAAAAAAAAAAGGCAAAMAAAAGAAAATACACAAAAAWAAATAAAATTTAAAAAAAAAAAAAAAAAACGTAAGAGAGAGAAGCTCCAGTAGAGGAGCTGGCAAAAAGCAACTCGCGAGGGTTACATGAGATGGCTGCGAGACGCGCAGCTCCGGCGGCGCCGCAACGGCCGCCCGGCCGGTAACGGGCGCTCCGAGCCCGCGGGCCGGTAACGGGCGCCCGGCCGGTAACGGGCGCCCCGAGCCCGCGGGCCGGTAACGGGCGCCCCGAGCCCGCGGGCCGGTAACGGGCGCCCCGAGCCCGCGGCGGGCGGGCGGCAGCGCCGGGGCAGGAACCGGGCTGCTTTATCGGCACTTGGGCGCTCGCGGGGCTCCCTCTCCCGCCGCACACAACACTCCTCTTTCTTTCTTCAGGCGCAGGAGCGGGTGCCTCATCTGGGCAGCAACAGGAGGGGGGAGAGTCAAGGGGCAGCTGTCAAATGCGCTGCCCTCACCCCCGCGCTCGCCCCCTTTTCTCCTTCCAGCTTAATGATCAAACGCCCGCCTGGGAGAAAGGCGAGGGAGCGCTAGGAAGGTACGGAGGGCACTCCGCTGTGCGTGAGTGAGTGAGTGAGTGAGTGAGTGAGTGAGTGAGGGTGCCTCCCGGCCCTCCCCTCCTGTCTGCCGGAGCCACAGCGGCCCGCGAGGGGAGGAGAGAGGGCCGCGGGGGAGGAGGCAGCGGCGGCAGCAGCAAGTGCTGGCGCAGCGCGCGGCTACTCTCTTACTCATCGCGGGAAGGTGGGGGGAGGGAGGACCGTGTGTACCTTTTTCCTCTCGTGCCTCTCCTCACTTTAACAAGCTGGGGCCAATCGCCGGCAGAAGGGAACAAAGGCGGAGGGGGAGGGAAGCGAAGCCCACCCCGGCCACAGCCGCCGCCGAAGCCCCTGGCTGGGCAGAGCGCTGCCCGCTGCCGCTGACAGCAGCGCGGCCCCGCAGCGGGCACGCGGCTCCTCGCCCGGCGCCGATTCCGCCTCCACCGCCTCCTTCTGCCCGGCGAGTTTAAAGGGCGACAGTGTCCGGCCGAGGGGCGAGAAACTTGGCGAGAGGGTGCCCCTCGCTCCCGGCGTGTCCAGCGGCAGCGCCGTCCTCGCGATCAAGATGAAAAGTAAAAAAGGTAGTTGGTGAGAGAGGGGGTGTTTGTGTGTGCGAGAGAGAGGGGCCCCCGAGCCCCGTCCGGCTGCGCGGGGCGCCCCGCGGTAGCGGCCTGTGCGCGGGGGGACGCGGCGCCCCTCTCCCCTCGCCCGTTCCCCCCGCCTCCCCCGCCGCGGGTGGCAGTTGCGCCGCACTCGCAGACAAAACACGCGGGGCCGTTGTTTGGACGCGGCCGCGTCTCCATGCCGCTGGCTCGCTGTCAACAACGTGCCCGGCGCCCGCTTTGTGCCCGCGGCAAGTTTTGTTCGCGCTCCCTCCACGCAGCCCGTGACTCCCCCCTTCCCCTAACTACTCCCCCCCCCCCGTTTACTTTTATTATTATTTTTCTTTCCAAGCCTCCTTTTTGCACCAAACTCCGCCAGCCTAGTAACTTTGGGCGAGGATGTGAGTCGTTTTCGCAACTTTTTTTCCCCCCCTCTTCTTTTTAAGCGAGAACAAAGTGGTGCCGGGACGGCCCTTTGTTCGGAGGCGGCGGCGGGCGCGCGCCTGCCCCTGCCCGGAGAGTTTTACAGCCCCCCCGCAGCTCTCCTGGTAACGGCTGCTGCCTTTCCCTTCCCTCGGCTATCCCCGAAGAAGGGCAAATAATTAAAATAACTGAAAAAAAAATTCCACACTGTTGGATTTGAGAGCAGCAGGGAGACAGCCCCCCCCCCCTCCGCCGCACACAAAAGAAGTTGACTAAGTTTTGTTGCGTTGGTTTCCACGCAGAGCAACTTTCCGTGCGGTTGGGGGACTCTTACTCTTCCCTTGCGTAGGGCTTTGTGCGCCTCTTAAGTGAGAGCCTGACCACAAAGACGCGCAGTGTGCTTTCGGATTTAACGCATTCCCGATTAATTAATCTGCCGCCGGAGAAGGAGGAAGGGTGTAAAGCAACTTGTAGCGAACAGCGGACGGGTATCTCTCTTTCTCGAGAGCTGTGATTTACCAGCGTGCGTGGCGAGTGTTTTGCATTTAAAGACCCGTGGGTAGCCGGCGCGGGGGGCAGTGGCGGGTTGGAGCTGTGCCGCGGAGCAGCCTGCGCACTGCTTGTGTCCCAGGAGCCATCAAAGCATACGGAGTTGGTGAAGTCTCCGCGCTGCTGCAAACGTGATGTACTGATATGGCTTACAGGCTGCGGGAGAAGCTTTGGAGCTGCCGCTCGCTCAGGAGCGGCGCACACAAAGGGAGTGAGCCCCAGGGACAGAGTTTAAGCAGAAGGCAGGGCAGTGCTGAGAAGCGAGGAAGCCGGAGCTCCAGCAGGAACTTTGTCTCCGTGGCCTCCACGCGGATCTCGCTCTGTTAAACTAACAGGATTGATTTCTAGATTACAGGATGTGTTGCATACCAAACCCAGCCCTCCGAGCCAGGAGACAGTGACAGCTTTGACTTCAGATTCTTAACCTTATTACAAGCCCCTTTAAAAATTATTTTTACTGGTTTCACTGAATTAATTTAGCCCAGTTATTTTTAGGGCATTCCTATGCTCCCTATTTGCACAGCAGTGGTGAGCTGGTTTCCTGTCTGCCGTTGCTTCCATTGTTCAGACTTCTTTCCCCGAGGGCAGCTGCTGCTGGTCGGAATGCCAGAACTGCCCGCACGTTGAGCCGTGCCTCGAGCGGCGCTGACGTGGTTTCTAGGTGGGCATGTGCGCAGCTCTGTGAGCGAGCGCGCGCGCGGCCAGAACAATGGGAACAATGAAAGGTGACGTGACGGGCGCGCGGGGGGCAGAGGGGGCGCGCTTCGGCCTGCCCGTGGGCAGGCAGAAACGAGACGGGCGAGGGACAAAAGGTGGAAACTTCTCGGAAAGATGTTAAGGTGTCTCCGTAGCACTACGGGTGCTAAAGCTTCAGCTTTGGGCTTGTAGTTACAGGCAGCCTGGCATTTGAGCCGCATTAGAGAAGTTTCAAAGTTTGTTTCAGATCTGTTTCTTGCAGTCCTGTTGCAGTCCTAGAAGTGGTGGGTTTTTGTTTTTTTTTTTTTTTCAAGCAGAAGACGGC